CTTATTCGCTTTTTTTCTAAGCTGGTTATAGTTATAGCATTATATTTAAAATTTCGCAAGAAAAATATAAATAGACCAAAGTCTTGACAAAACTTTTTAGAAATTTTGATTAGAAAACATAATACATACATATAATTGTTTAAACTTGATAATTTACACCGTTTTCAAGAAAAATGCGAAAATATTTTCAAATTAGAAACGTCAGATAAACTTGTAACTCGGAATAATAAACAAAATAACATACTCAAAGTAAATGTTTCATGTGACCTCCTCCTACTTCTAAGCCTATTCTAATTATTTATGATATTAATTATATCCCCTAATAAAATTGGTCTCTACAATTCTGTCCCCTAATAAAATTAGCTGCTACAATTATATCCTCTAATAAAATTAGTTGCTACAAATCCATCCCCTAATAAAATTTGCCGCTACAATTCTGTCTCCTAATTAAATTAGTCGCTACAATTATATCCCCTGATAGAAATTAATAACTTATATCACTATGTTATCCCTTATTTTTTTTGCCTTTTTTGATCCACAATCATTTTTTATGCTAAATAAAAGTTCTTAAATATCTACAAAATTGGTATATACAGGATGATCTTTAAATAATTGTACATATAATAGTAAATTATTGAATTCCGAATATTACTATTTCAGCTAACTTGTTTTAATAAAACATTGATAACTCATTCAGGTTGGTGTTAAAAAATATCAATCTGAAAATTTTTTATATCTACAAATTTTACATAAAAAAAATTTGGGTCGAAAAGCGAAAAAATTAGTTTTTGGGAACTTTAACGCCCTCTACTTTTTGTATTTATCATCGTATCGTGGTGACGCAATGAAATAAATTTTAGGTAATATTGTTAACTACAACTTTTGTACGAAACATTTTCTACTACCACTCATTGTTTTCCCGGAAAAAATAACACAATGCCAAGTGGGGGAAATTTCGAAATTATGATTTTTAACTTTTTTTATGATTGAATTTGAAGTAACATTTTATTATTGCACTATAACAGAGAGTTTGGTGTCAAATTTTACAGACATCACGCTATTTCATGTTTGAGCAAGTTTTATAGGAAAAGATAGTACCCTCCAAGGTATATAACTATGTGTTTGAATTTATGAAAGATTTTGGAGTAAATTATCTTTCTGCACATTCAATTGTATTGAATATTAATAAAAAAAAATAAAGAAAGGTATTTTTGAATTCTAATTGGTTTGAACACAAATGAATTAGACACGTTTATATCTTCGACATTTGTGTTCAAGATATTGGAGATTGTTACTTAAATAAAAATTTAAAAAAACGTGAAAAAATATATTGATGTTCTGTAGCCCGTTAGACTTTTGAAAAATACGTTTCAAACTATCGGGGTTGTGAAATGTATTTCCCTAATTCTCTTCTATTTAAAAAAAAAAGAAACACGTGGTACCTTTTAAATGATGTCTACAGTTTACGGCGTTTAATGCTTGAAATAACGGCACACTAATTCTAAAAAGTACAATACAATTATTACGTGGAATTTGATTTTTAGAAATCACTTGCACACATGAAAAAAGTAGTTGCCAAAATGATGCTACGTTTCAAAATAGTCAAAAAATTGTTATTCAAGCTCATATTACAGTTTTTAAATCAATAGCAACACCAAAGATCAAAAATTATGAAAATCTTATATTGTGCAGATTTTTTCATTGGGTTCAACTATTATTATTAAGTTTTTTGAAAATAATTAAATGCTAAAAATAGTTTTTTATTTTTAAACTTATTTTATAATAATTAACTAGATGTGACAATAAATCAATATTTTTACAGTCATTTGGGATGTTGAAGTATTCTGGTAACAGGTGAATGTTTTTTCAGTTTGTAGAATGCATAGGAATAAAAAATTCTACCTCGAAGGAATTCTGAGATATATTTGGTCCAAAATGTTACGACAGTTGAAAATTCCATTAATTATACATAAAAAATATCTATATTCTTCTATCGTCTGATATCTTTTCTCCAATTGATCTAGATTAAGAAGTAATTTAAAATTTTTCAATTGATCATGCAATCTATAATACAGCGTTGACTTGTTTACCACTCTCCAATGCATTCAATAGAGTAACTTCATATGAAACCAAGTTGGTAGTTATCAACTTTCCCCCTCAGGAACCCTTGTTGGTTCTTAACAATCTGAATATACTTCTGTGCAAACACGCGCTTGCACATAAACAAAAGATGATTTTTAGCTTTTCTATTAAGCACCGAATTTCAATTCAAAGCTTTTAGGTGGCATCTTGTGTTACTTTCACATTAAATCGTAAATTAGTTTTTCAAACACTCAAACTCCTCTATAGTTTTTGATATTGTTTATCTTTACCCTTGAATACTGGTACCAAAAAATTGATCTTCCAAACTTTAGGGAACACTGAGAGCACTAAGGACAAATTAAAAAGAATATAAAAGGGTTTAATCAGACTGTATATACAGTTTTTTAAGAAAATGTCAGGAATGCCTTCTGGTCCTACAGTTGGCGGGGGCAGCAAGGACTTAAACGGGGCTATTTTGGTATCAAAATCATTTAGGTTCTCCCTTTATACTATTGAAACGATTTCGAACAAATTTTCACACCTTTTTTTCCATTCTAAAGATGATTTTTAAATTCTCACCCCATCTATGATGAATTAGTGTAAAAAACTAAACAAACCAAGTTTGGATGAACACTATTCATCCAATGATAGAAATTGATTCGCTGATAATCCCTTTGGAATACATTTTGTAAATGCTAAATTTACTTTTTTGAATCCATTTTTAAAAACATATGATTCGGGAATTTAGTGTTTATTAGCCTTGTTTTTAATTTCAAATGAATATTGTACTTTTTTGTTGTCCAAAAAAATTCAAAATGTTCTGACTTCAAAGATTCAGTCATTGTTCAAAATCCAGTACCTATAATCGCAAGGAGTTTTTGGAATATTAAAGGGTATAAACATTTAAAATTCGTTTCAAATATATTAAAATAATTGACCTTCATAACTATTGATTTAAAAACAAAATTTAATACGTAAAATACATTTTTTTCTACACAAAGTGACAGTTAAAAAATAGATTTTGGCAACTATATTAGGAAATAATTTATCTAAAAATACATTTCTTGCGATTTTATAGAAATAATTGTTCGAATATTTCCACTCGTTTTTTTATTAAATATTTTCCATAAGTTTATTATAAAATATTTTAACTATACATACGTTTTTATTTTTATTTTTTCCGCGTTGAAAGTTTTTTTATTTGTAACCCAAAAGGTTTATTTACAAAATGTTGGGTGTCACATTGAAGGTATAAGTTTGATTCTAACGAGACGTAACATAAAGCCTATGATTTTAAATATTTTTTATGCAAGATATATTTAAGCAATAAGATATTAAAAGGTAGGAAGTGTACTTGCCATATATATTATATATAAATATATTTTTTATTCCGATTTTATTTTTTTGAGACATTTTAAAGCTATGTGGGTTGATATATTACAAAAAAAAATAATGAAAAAAAAAATCATGCAATGTCCCATTCGTGGCTTCAATTAGACACTTTTTATAGTCATTTAAAGTACAAATGTTATTTCAATGTATGGATGGACTACATATCATAATTTTAATCCCCCTATATATATTATATATCCGCCGACTTTTTAAATGAACACAGGGACATTTTTTAAGTACATCTTATTTGTTCTTGTGTTAACACGTTGTAGCTTTTCAGCCAACCAATATATTCTTATAAATCCTATTTTATGAATTAAATATCCATCATTTACAATTCTCCAGATGTACTTTTAAATACTAATACAAAATTTAGAACATGATTAAATATTTTTATTTAAAAATGTCTGAAATGTATTTATTCAAACAGTAAGTTCTAATTATGGTCTCAGATAAATAAAAGTTATATAAGTAGACAGTTTGGTTCTTTAATTAAATGTAATTCAAGCATAAAATGAAATATTGCTGTTAGTTTATTCGATATTTATAGAAAAAATTAGGTTTCAAACAGTAAATAGACTTCTTTTTGTTTTTCATTGTCGGGTTCCAATTCCTGAATACCATAATCAGCATATCTGACGCAATAATTATTTAATTTACATAAAAAGTAACATCATCTAATTCCCCTAATATTTATCTAATTATCTTTGTAAAGATGACTCGGAGTACATCGCGAATACAATCGATTTAAAACGCGTTAGCAAAGATAATTAAGATATTAACAACATGCAAAAGATTGTTGATTTAACCAAGAAGTCTAAACTTAAAAAATACAAATTCTGAACTGCTTATTTGACAGAAATAAAGTAATAGAGGGAAGGGGGTACATCTTGGCTTCAAATAATCCCAGACTGTTTTCATTCTATATTTTTTTAATTTGAGATGAGCAATTTTAAAAATTATCCATATTTATAAATTTAATAATTTTCTATTGTGAAAAAATGCACTAAACTTTGTATTTGTACTTTTTTATATAAAAATTTTATGATATTGACCAAAAATATATAATAAAACGATTTTTTTTTTAATAGGAAAAATATGTTTGGTTGGTTTGATATAGCATAGTGTAAAACGAATAAATTAACTGTGTCTTAGTCCTGTCATATTAAACGAATTAAGAGAGAAAAGTGTATACATTTTTGAAAATATTAAATAATTGTTATCTCTTTCCAAAGATTTTTTAGTGATAAGGTATTAACAATAATTATTCGCTAAGCTCTGTATTCAAGCTAGGCACATAGATTATCTGATATTAAAGCAGGAGCGTATTCAGATTGATACAAAGAGCAGGTGGGAACCTTCCGTATAAATAAAAATTTGACTACGCTTCTGCGCATAATTATTATAAATGGTGTGTTATATACATAGAAAAGTGTTGGTTTTCCTCGTCAGTGAAAAAAAAATAAAGGGGACGCCTTAAGCACCCTTATAAAAGCTTGATAATAACCTTTCAATTTTTATTATAGATGTTGAGAACCTCGAGATCCTTACGTGCCCTAAAAGTCCTTTCCTTACTCATCTTGTTCAATCGTTTTAAGAATCTGCAGTGTTTTCCCCGCCTGTTGAGCTGTGGCATTTAACAATATTTGATAAAAACAATTTTTTGATGTATCCTTTCCTCGTAGATCGTACTGTATTTAACGCATTCAAGCATTTTTCTCCAACTAAAGATATTTTACCAGAGAGATATATATTTTCTTACAAATAACTTTTAAAATCGTATATATTTTATATAACTTTTTTTTGAAAAGATTTAGGTAATTTGAAATTTAAAAAAAATAAATCTTTGTTAGTGAGTATGAAAGGACACTTTGTGGTTATTTTGCTACTAAGCAGCATATAATATTCCCAAAAAAATAATTCAAAAAAGTATCCACCAGGTAACTAAGATTTTTTTTAATTTTTAATTTTAGCATTTATAGAATCTAAAAATACAAATTTCAGACTATTTTGACGCATGACCAGACTGCCCTGAGTTTTGTTTTATTAATGTACGTCAAAAGTTTACTTTAGGCACTCTAAAATGTTTATAGCAAATTTATCAATTAATATTAAAATAAATCTGTCAAAAAGCCTGACGAATACGACGGTTTTAACACGTTGACTGTCACAGTAATTTTCTGGATTTCTGTCTAAAAAGCCAATTTAATTTAAACATATATTATTTAAAAATTTAATTATAGTACAGGGAATTTTTTTTTTTCGAGAAAAACATTTTGCAAACTATCGGAAGTTCTTCGCTGAAGCCCTACGAGTTAATTTGTGCACATACGCGCTACAACCTGATTTCGGCCTACTATACCTGAGTCAGAGATATTTATATGATTATATTTTTTGTTCATCTAAGCCAGGCTTGATTTTGTATTCCTACTCTTATTTACCCTGATTATTACAAAATAAGAACACAAACTACGAATTAACTCGTGCTTGGCAGTCAACGTGTTAAATAACTACCTGGTTTTAAATAAGTGCGACAAAAAAATCTTATTCGTAGGCAGTGGCAGTTTATGTTGTGTTGTTAATTGCATGCAGATGCCAATCTGTAATGTGTTTAAATTAATAATTTTGTAAGTTTTTTTTACTCAAAAATGTCGCATCTCAAAAACCCTAGAGCTTTTTATATTTCAAATTGAACGGGACATTAAAAAAAAGCATAGGTGTTGCAATAAACATTTTATAGTACCCAAAGTATATTTTTGCTGTATATTAATAAAACAAACTTCAAAACCGTCGAAAGAGTGTGGGATTTCTATTTCTAGATTCTATAGATGCAAAAATAAAAAAAAATTATCTAGTACGTATGTTTTTCAATTAATTTTTTGCAACTGTTATATGCAAAATAATTTCAAATTCACTAACATAAATATTTACTGTTCGCCATCAGCTCTTGGGCTAGAAGCAAAGAACAACGGTTTTTTTCTTTTTAAGGTAGACATCAAATACTTCTAGTAATCACACTGTCGGATCTCGTACTATTTTTTAAATGTTTCAATAAAATCAAAATACATCATGTCATTGTGTGATTCTAGTTCAATTAATCTTTAAAGAGTATAAATCTCTCTGGGAATTTTTATTTAAATCTTTAGTCATAAAACTGGCCATGTAATGGGAATACTTGAGGAAAAAGATTTTTATTAACATTTTTGGAAAAGTTAAATTTAATCGTACGATCTACATGGACTTGAAAAATGTCTGTAACAATCACTTATAATCTCTGGTTAATAGACCAGTTTCGTGTACCTTAAGTAGCACTCTTGTTCCTCTGCTTAACCTAAAACAATTTCCAACTGATTTTTCATACCTAATATTCGGATAATACTATATATACGTATATACATAGTTTATCTCATATTGTATATGTATTATATTTACATTTCTAACGCGTTTTTTGATATTTCTATTTAAAAATACGACTAAAGACTTGGATTTCGTAATTTTTATTTACACAAACATGAAATGTTCTGATTATTATGTTCTGTGGCTAAGAACATGATTTTTTTTACTTGCGACCACAGTTCGGGAAATTTATATACAGGCAAGTTCGATTATTTTTGCATTGTTTACTTTTATGAATAGTTTTGCTTGTTCATTTTAGATATTTATTTAATGTTTGTATCTATTTCATATTTTTTGAGCTATTGTACTACCTTGTCAATTATTTTTTGGCCACGTCATTTTCTTCGTCACACAACAATCTCGTCAGATTTTAGTGCTTGAAAATGATTGTAAGTAGATGGATAAATTTATTACCGCCTTAAGTTTTACATCTATGGTTATTCAGGGTGGCAAGAGCATACAAGCTCGTATTTTTGGAACTGTTTTTTTTTATTTAAATGTACTGAAGGTTGTTTTTAATTTGTAAGTTATATTACTGGTTTTTGAATAAATATAATTGTAAAAAAATGTTTGTTTTCATTAAAATTAAAAAAATATAATACCTACGAACAGTGAAGTACAGGAAAATGATCGGAAAGGATGTTATTAAAAAAAAAATAAGGTAAATGCGGCAGTAAAATCTATAAAATACCATGAAAAAAAAAACGCATATCCTAATTTTTGACAGTTTTTGTCATTTTTTGTGATTTTATTTAAACGCCCATTAATGCAGAAATGTTCAATTCTAGAACAACAAATAAAAAATATATTCATAAGTGATATAGAATTTGCAATGTTATATCTATCACGCAAAATGTTTAAATTTGTTTTCGTTTTTTATTAAATAATTGGCCGACAGGAAGGTGTAGTGGATTTTACACCGGGCCAAACGGAAGGTACTACATGAAAAAAATTCGCGTCCAGCACTGTACACGTAAGAAAATAGTATTTCTTAAAAACTAGAGAATAAGAGAGATTACAGTTGTGTGTTTGAGAGAGAGATAATAATTGATTAGGCATTCCAAAGACAGTTAACACCACTTAACACTCGGCGATGTAAGTGACAATGATATAAATATATAGATTGGACGCGTCCATTTTGCCTCGCAAGTACCATAAAAGATAAAAACTTGACAGATTCAATGAACTGGAGGGGGGTAGAATGCCAATGTACATGTTGTACTATTAGAACAAGGTGCGACTCGATGGGCGCAGCCATTTTTATTGTTCATCTCACTCGGGACTATTTATAATAACCATTTTCTGTTTCACATTGTTATTGTTCAATCCACAAGCTGGTGGATCAGACAATAACAATGTGAAATAGAAACTGGCTATTTTAAATACTTCCGAGTGAGATAAAAAATAACCTATCTTCGCCCATAGAGTCGCACATCAAGTCTATTGACAAGCATTCTACCCCACTCCAGTTCATTGACTGTGTGCTGTCTATCAGCAATGTGATCGCTTTGAACAATCTATATAATATTTATATCATTGACCCCCTCAATTAGGCAATCCAATGTCCAGTCGGACAAAAATGGCCGATGCTTGGCGAAAACTCTGTGGCGAAAACAACAAAGCTTCTTAACCTTACTTTTGTACATGCAATTAATATTCTATATATTCAAAATAAATATTCATTTATGCCATTTTTTAACTAAACATACCGAAAACAACTCTAAATACTCCAAAAAAATAATACAAACTTAGACTAATAACCTCACTAAAAGTGTTTTTGTCAAAGGTCCACCATTTAAAGTCTACAGTTGACACTCAGCGAAATATTAAAATTGTTGCGAGGAATATTTCTAAAAATCTCAAAGTTAATCTTATGTAAAAGACGAATTTATCCAAAAAATCTGCATTTTTTATTAAAACCTTTTAAAACAGGTTTTTAAAATGATTCAGTTTAATTGAGCGTTGCCTTAAAGTTTCGATAATGTTATTCGGCAAAACTTTTGATTTTAGTACTTCGGTAGGTCAAAAAGTTCACTATACATAAAAATCTTGAGAAAACACTGATTCTAAATATAATTTTTTGTTATCAAAACAGCCCAAACTATACAATATTTATCACAAAATTCAAAATAAAATTTTTCGTATCTACGAATAATTCAGTACATTAGGATCAAGTAAATAAATAAATCACAATAAGAAGCAAAACCTCTAAATATATTTTTTAAATCTTTAATATACTGGTTTCAGCGGATAAACATTATTCTATCAAAACAGCAAAAAAAAATATTTAGCACGTAATTTCAAATAGGAACAATTCTTTTACGAATAATTCAGAATATTACTATCAATTTAATAAATAAAAACATTTAGGAACAAATCTTTTACTTGTAATTTTTAGCTATTGCATTCAGGTAGAATTTCCATCAACTACTTTGCTGAAACAACACTTAAAACTTAATTTCAAAAAAAATACTCTCTTAAAACTATAATCTATGTTTAAAGATTATTTACAGAGGTCCATAAATACATATTGATTACCTACCTGTTTTGAATTCTATTTTTATTTTAATATAGAAAATAGGTTTTAAGAAATTACAGGAAAGAGGACAATTGTTAATTTATGAATAAGGGATCGATTCATTGGAAATACCAACGGTTTACATAATACGTAGATGTTTTTCTGAAGTTTTGAACGTGTAATTTGAAAGATTATTTACATTAATATTTTTTCCTACGACCACTTAGGAAAGTGACACATATCACACTATACAGTGTGTCTACTTAAGTTGGAACCATATGGAAAACATTTTTATTATTGATTTTAGGAAAAAAAGTTATTCTTGATAAAAAGTCCTGCATGACCCAAAACTTAAAATACAGTCATCAGATATCAAATTTTTCAAGCCGTATACGAGGTTTGTCAAAAAATATGAATTTTGCTCAAGAGTAAAGTATGTTTATTTTTGACAAAATCGAAAATTTTCATTAAGAAATTTGCTAAATTCTTCACAAACATCAACAAAAGGAAAGCGTATCATGTTTATAGTAGCTAACGTAATTTATAACGTTTTCAGATATTTACAATCAATGTGTAGAGTGTAGAGTTTATAAAAAATAAGAAAATCTGTTTTTTCAGATAGATCGGTGTAATTGCATATTTGAATGTAATATTCAATTCTAATCAACTTTTCTTAATGAAAATTTTCGATTTTGTCAAAAATAAACGTACTTTACTCTTGAGCAAAATTCATATTTTTTGACAAACCTCGTATACGGCTTGAAAAATTTGATATGTGATGACTGTATTTTAGGTTTTGGGTCATGCAGGACTTTTTATCAAGAATAACTTTATTTCCTAAAATCAATAATAAAAATGTTTTCCATATGGTTCCAACTTAAGTAGACACACTGTATATTCCTATGGAAAGTGCCCTATATCACACGCGTATGAATAAGAATTTACTTTCCAACCGTGTACGAATATGCTACTTTCATTTCTATTTTGATCTATGTAATGTCCGTATATATGGTCCATATAAATACTAAAATCGATATGATTGTTAAATTATTGAAATTGTTGTAAATTAGATCCCATATATATATCGATGGCTTAAGTGCAAAACGTCGTAACCCCAAAAAGTAAATTTTACAGGGGAATAAAAAACCAAATAGACTTAGATGTAATTTCGAAGAGCAACTTTTTGTTTTGGTGCGTAAAATTAATTTCATTTTATACTGTTGCTTACGATAGTTTTACACAAGACGCAGCTAAAACATACGACTCCAATGACGCAAAAAGCGATTTTTTGAAATTTTGTGGGTTACGACGTTTTGCACTTAAGCCATCGATATTTATCTTTAACAATTATTATTAAAATAACTAAGATATGTTTGCTCTTTATTCTGATTAAACACAACCGATTTGATCATTCAATTGACGCAATGCCTAGTAGCTTAGATGGTTAGAGCGTCAAACTTATCATCTTTGCCATTTGAGACCTGGCGAGCGACCGCGTTCAAATCCTGGCGGGGCCAGAATTTTTTTTTGTTTAGAAAATAGGAAAATTGAATAAATACGATTATTGTTGATTATTATTTTAAATACATTTTAATTATTATAATAATAACCTGGTTTTACATTTGTTGATGAAATTATTTTGTGGTCGTAGGAAAAATATTGTACATCGCTTGTGTGAAAAGTGATTTTCCACATTTTTAATGTAAACTATTTGTGAGCTTTATAGCGTGACGCGTTTTATGTGAAAATTAATAGATATTCTATTTTATAAATGAATAGTTATATATCTCTGACTCTACCCCACCCTCTCCAACTCCATTTGCTCCCCTCTGTCTCCAATTCACTTCACTCTGCTCTCCACTTCTCTCTGCATTGTATCTTTCAAACAGAAAAATCATATATAAACTCAAGATCAGTTATTTTAATTTCGTAACGTTACCATGGTTACATGCCTTACACTGTGCATGTCCTTGAAATTGCACTTTTCATATATGGGTATCAGTATCATAAACAGTTGAGAATAAGAAATTAACCCAAGAACGTCATAAATAGACAATTTAGATAAAAATACCTTTTATAGTCTCTTATCCTGTTGTCAGTTTGTATGACCCAATCGCCTTGTAACATTGGCTATATAAACTGGCAACACTGATATTATTCATTTCCTGCACTAGTGCAAAGTGTATGATAGCCAATACTGTATGTATAAAACTACAAAGTGAATAAACAACGTTGAAAATATTATTTAAAACAAAATTATATTTATTTGTACATATTTACATTCTAAGTTTCAACAATAATAGGTGCTTCATCTTCATCCTCAGAATCTAAATGATTAAAATCCCACTGATACAGACTGGTCAGTTTATGAGTAAACCTTTGAACTTTTGTCTTCAGAATTCCATCAACTTCAGAATCTTTTATAGCTCTAAATAACTCTCTCAGTTTCACATAAACAAAGTTGCTGTTTGTAACTATATCAGCTATAAATTCTTCTGGAATTTCTTGAATCTGTATTTCAATTACTGATATAAATATATCATATAAATGTTTGTGCTTTTTAATACCAGTTTGGCAAGAACAGAAGAGATTAAATATTTTTTTCCAATGGTCGAATGCTTCTAAACTATGTCCAACTAGAAAACAGATGTAACAAATTTGCATCTCTCCTAAAATTTCTGTAGATATTGTGTATTTGGTAACCATCTCCTCTAACACATAAGAAGAATCTAAAGAATGTTTGGTAATTTCGGCAGGTGTGGAATTTTCTGGATAATTTTTATCTGGGAATAGAGTTGTCCTTAGTTCTGTACCTTCTTTGGCTTTTAAATTTGGTAAAAAAACATGCTCTGTATTTTGAGATAATCTTGGACTTTTAGGTAAAACTTCATCATTTTCATTTATTGATTTTCTTTTGCCTCTAGGTCTATCTGCATCACTACACGACTGTAATTCTAAAGCAGCCCTAACATAACCTGATGCAGGACTAATTTTTTCTACCAAAGTATTCGTAATACATGAACAAAGGCTTTTCCATTTATCCAGGATATCGAAAGGATACGGTCCTAGAAAACCATCCAGAAGTAAAATATTTTCTTTTAGCTGAACAACCTCGCTTTCAGGTACTTCGTCACTACTAATGCATTCGTTTTCCTTGTCCCATTTCTTTACAAATACTTCCGATTTTCTAAAATTTTTAAAAAACCCTATTCTCGGAGCCATGTCTCCTGTGTCTGATACAGCATTAAAAAATATATAATGTATTCCTGGAGGTATCATTTTAACCCCTCGAAATTTTTCTCCTGTATTCCATGACTTCAAATCGATACCAAATTCTGTACCTTTCGGAACGTCCAGTAAAATGAAAAAAGCCCCTTCAACCAAAAGACGTTTTGCCGTTTGTTGATCCATTTTATTTACTAATTCTAATACAATAATAATCTCATTAAAATTAAAATAATATTTTTATGTTATTGTTGCTTAAAAAAAGATAGTTCACGTTTGTTTACAAGAAGCATGTCATATGCCATGTTAATGTCAATGTCAATCTAATCATTCTGACGGAAGTGGTCACCATCACAAACCATGAATGATTCATCGGATGAGAGGTAGTTGGAATGCTCAATTTTTAAATGGTGTTTAAAATTTGATTATTTGGATGTTCTAGTTAATTTGATGTTTTTTTCATAACTATATTGTTTTCACAATTTTTAAACACGATACAAATGTTGAAATTTTTATTTCAAATTTGTAAGTGAAGATTTGTAAATACATGATCAATAATTATTGGTCATAGGCGTACACATCATCTGGTTTATAGGATATACATATTTAAAATATCAGTGTAAATTTGTAACTCGTAAATTTATCTTGGATAAATTATTTTCAGGTTTCCTAAAGATTGTCAAAAAAGAAACGACTTCCCATGCGGCACAAACATATTTCAGAAATATTTTAAAAATGTTACATTGAAACATTTGTAATGTATAAATATTACGAAACATCCCAGAAACATTTCTGAAATGTGCCTGAAACCTAAAAATGTCCTGTAAATATAATATTTCACAGTAATATTTCTAAAATTAAAATTTGATATCTTTTAGAAATATTAAATACTAATATTCTAGTTTTTTTTTCTAAAATATTATTAGACAAAAAAAGACATTTAAAAATATACAGGTTTATTTACATATACACAAAACTTAAACAAATAAGTTAATAATTTTTAAACATTATTTCATAAAATATAAAAGCGAATCACGTCATTTCCACAAATTCCTTTAAATGCACTAATTTGAAACAAATAAGTTTTTTTTACCCCAAATAAAGAAACATTTACGATTATTACAATCTGATCATTAAGATTAATTAGCAATTTTATTCTAACCTAACTTATGTAGGGATGAAAAACTTTAAACTAAATTCTACTCACTATATAGTGTACTTTAAAGTCTAATTATTTAGTTCCACTACCGTAAACTGCTAATCTAACATCGCTGAACTAACTCAAAAGGCTTGGTTCTCTTGAGTCTTCTTATTAGATTGTCATTGATGAAGAGCTGGATAGTCTTAAAGTTTCCATGTTGGAGCAGTCGTTGTTGGTGACTACTGGCAAATTTAAAAATTTCTTATTGTACTTTCAGCAGTCTCCACTTTAAGGCCCCTATGAAGATCAGTATTACCGCAGTACCAGAGTGCAACGACGATGCTCCTTAATACTTTATTCTGAAAACGTTGAATAACTATTGTTAATTTTACTGGCACAGTCTCAAAGCAGACGAGTTGCTTCATTTCCATGAATTCCTTTAAATGCACTAATCTGAAACAAATTATAGGTAATTAAAAAGGATTTATACAAATTATTTGATTAACAATAGTTTTAATAATTTTGTTTTAAAATGACTATAAAAACAAACAATATTCATGTGCCTAAACAAAACATTATAATCTCTGCTTTTCAATCAGCTGTAAAACTAATAAATAAAACTGGTTGCGGGACAGCAAATGTAGGTTATATTTAAATAAAAATAAGACCAATCTGTCTGTAAAGATAAACGAAATGGCGTCATTCGTCTCACAGAAGAGACAGAGTATTTAAACCTAACCTAAACAAGCTTTATTTCTGTAGTAGGTACTCACACCAGTTTCTAAAGGCATATTCTGTTTCCCATATAACAACAGCACAACGCATAAATAACAAAAAAAGGAAATGGCAAAATCCGACAACTTAAATCTATAATTATTTAGAATATAGGGTTGTCTCTGGCTGGACATGGGATAATATAAAATAACTACATATATCCCATTTTCATTTTCTTACAAATCAGAAATTCTTCATTAAGTGTTGGCCTTTTACAACATAACCTTTTGTGTAACATGTATACCATGTTTCATGAACAGTTTCAGTGAAATATTTAACTAAAATATTTCATAAACTTTTGCTTAAAATGTTATATGTTTGAAATATTTCTGAAACACTTCTAAAATAATGGGTTAAGTTCTCTTCAGTCACCCAATTTGGGTGCCAAAATATCTTTCCTTTCTATTTTTACGCCATTTTAAATATAGTTATTGTCAAATAATACGTGTATAATGGGTCTATAATTTTCAGACTAAAATAAAAAAATGTTCTTGCCATTCTAGAACTAAGTAACTTTTTTCTGTATTTCTTGTCGAACAGGCCAAACCAACACTAGTATGACCTTTTTAAAACAGTCAAATTAAACAGGATAAATATTGAATGATAAAGGAAGTCAAATCCTACACAATACATTTTTTTGGAACATACATGAGAAGGAAGTAGTAAATCAGGGCACAAAAACCTTAATGGTATGCAAAAATTGAGGGGATGTAACTCATTTATACAACAATAGAAACCAGTAGCCTGGAGTGTTTATTTTTTGAAGAAGGATTTTAAGATTTTGATTTTGTTGAAAATATTCATACAGTTCTTTGATTTCAGGATGTTTTCGAGTTATTGGTGAGAATGTAATTCCTAACACTCTGAAATTTCTCTAGATTCCTTTTATATGTAACTGAATATTCAAGAAAGTTGGAGAACAAACGTTTTTATCACAAAAAAATAAGACTATTGTTGTGTTTTTTGCTTGCTATTTGTAGTTAGATAAAGGAAAGGGGTGAACAAAATTTACTATGTCCCGGTGGTGGGAGCTGTCGTAAAACCTGTCGAATTCAAAATAATGTTTCATTTCGATGAAGTTTTTCTTTTTTTTGCTGACAATAAAATAATTTGCATCTAGCGTCTATATCAATAAACAAATCTCTTTGCATGCATTTTTTGTCGTCCGGTTTTGCCACTTTCGATGTACGTGTAGGAATTTCCCTACTTTGAGAACGATATATTTGAATAAACCCTCTTATGACAGTACGTCACTGGAAACCGGATACACTTGTCTGCCGCCATATTCACAAACCACTGAACAAACGGACGCAACAGGGTCTTTGGAGTTAAAAGTGTGATTCGAGACTAGTTTAGGGTGAATGGAGCATATAAAATGAACGATTACAACGGTACACGCATCGTTGTATGAAGATTATACTTCATACAACGCACGCATGGAGGAAGGATAATTAAACGTCAAAAACCGGCATTTAGAGGTTAGTTTTTGTTTTTCAAATCGTTTATCGTTTTGAAAAGCAATTTCAGAATTCCAATTAGAACACAGGGCTACTGCATAGGATCTTTGTAATATAAAATAAAATGATTGATTTCATAGAAGGATCTCGAAAAAATCTGAGCGAACCATATTATATTAAAGACTTATCAGAACATGGACAAATACTTTTCATTGAATTTTCTCCCTTCGAATGGTCCCAAGATTTACTTTTAATAGGTTTTAAGAAGAAAATTTTGTTAGCACATCTTGAAATAAGCGTAAATATACAAAATAGCGACTAGTTAATTCGTGTAAGTACATATTTTTCTTTTCAATTTTAGGATGTACTGATGGTAAAAATATTAACTGAATTTGCAAATCCAGTTAGGTGTACAACGCTTAGCATATCTCCAGATACATCTTTAACTGCTTTGCCGAATCAAGTTATTTTCTGTGCTGGCGGTAACGATTTTAAACTTAGAATTTTTAGCAGCGATTTGGAAGAAAATAACACTTGCAAAGTAGGTAGTAAATTAATTTTTAAATATGTTTTTAATTTGTATATTTCATAGGTGTTAACTGGTCATAAAAGCTATATAAATGATTGCATGTTCGATCCTGAAAATACATATTTAGTTTCTACAGGAGATGATAATACTGTAAAAATTTGGACTACCTCTGATTATGAATTGAAATCTACTTTTTTGCTAACATCCTCAGGTATTAATACAAGTGTCCACCTTTCTATTTCATAAATCTAAAATATTTTTCTTTAGGAATGAGTGTATGCTGGCATAGAGCTGACAGCTCGAAGCTTCTTGTTGCTGAGAAAATAGGAATTATTAGATTTTTTAATGTTGAAACTGATACTTCCATACTTTCTATTAATTATAATAAGACATTATCAAGCACCCATTGGGCCCCATCTGATAGAGACATTATAGTTTCTTTACAACTGGGAGAATTACTAATATGGGATTTAACAAAACCTTGGTAAGTAATAATAATTAATAATAATACTCTCCATAATTTACCCCCTTATGAGTTAATTTTAACCCCAAAAGTTGAGCTTCTTTAAGCAAGATATAGCTATTATTATTTGCCGTGGCATTCCAGGGTGATTTAAACATGATTAATGGTAAACTTAGAAAACTTTACTCACCATCATTGATACAGTAATGAACTGCGATTTGTAATCTGGATTCCACCTCGAGATGGAACAAAATGAGTCAAGAAACAGACATTGATTTTTATGACCAAAGAGCTATTTTCTAAAAGTTCTTTCATGATTTTTATAAGTGGCGGGGATAGAATTAGTTCTAGTAGTTTGAAAAGTAGACCTTTGTGTCAAACACTGTTTTAGGCTTTCTTGGTATTCAGGAAAACTGCAGCAAATTTCAGTTTGGAAGTCAACATTACTAAAGGTTGTGTTGTCAAGTATCCAAAAGGGTTGGTTATTTCCACATTTATTAATAAAAAAATCCAATAGCTTGCCCAAGTTATGAGTTGGTAATTTTTTACTTTAGATTAGTCAGTATTTGGTTTGGGAATGACTATGATGTTTCATATCTTCAATTCTTCCTAAAAGTGTCAATTTTTTAAGCAAAATTCATTAATTTCGATAATCTAATTTTTTTAAATATTTACCAGGGTATGTTGTCATGACCAGGTGTCCAGTTTTTCTGTTTAGTTTTGAACTAATCTTCTTCATTTATTTTCAGATTGTAATAGATTCTTTCTTCTGTATTTAATAATTCTGTGTACCATTTATCTACAAGATAGGCTTGTAATTGGGAATAGGCTGGATTATCAGTATTTATTTTTGGGTTCTTGGACTGTCTATTTTCCCTATATCGATGGTAGTTGATTTTGATTTCAGTAAAGCCTTTGACCATGTTAATCACACCTTATTACTATTTAAATTAAAAAAATCTTGGCTTTTATAATGATTTCCTGACTTGGCTTGAAAGCTATTTAAAAACAGAGTTCAAATGAAGAAGAATAGATAATTTCAGGCGTTCCACAAGGTTTCCATTTGGGACCATTATTGTTCTTACCATATATCAATGATAATGAAGATACTTTCCAATATAGTGATTGAAGACATTCTTTCAAATAAAACTCATGTCCAAATATTCCCAAATTGAAATAACTGTTATAATTAGTGGCCAATTGTGGTATTTACTAACACAAATTGTTGTTTTTTAAATAAGTAACACATAAAAAGAAATTCACTGTCAAATATAGAGAATTTCAAAAGGTCTATTAGAATATTTTTTTTTGTGTTTTCTGAAAAAACCTTCAATTTTTTACTTTTTACTGATGACTTAAAGATATATGTCCATTAATACTTATAAGTATTGTTATATTGTACAAAGTTATATTAATGATTGGTCTGTGAAGAACTGTATGTCACTAAATATCAACAAATGTTGCTCAACTACTTTTGGTAGAGGATATGACAAGATTGTATTAAACTTTTGTTTTTTCTTAACTACCTCTCTCATTGAATTTTTTTTAGTTTACCTCTTCAAAACAATATTCTTTTCCCGGAAAAAGGTGGCTGTGTTAAATTTTCTCCGCAAGGAGAGTTAATTGCTGGAATCAACAGTTTAGATGGTACTTTGAAAATTTTCCATGTTAAAAGTCAAACTGTCAAATTAACAGCTGGTGTGACTCTGCCTACAAATGTTTGTTGGCATTATAGGTATCCCTTAGTTTGTATTGGCGATGATTTTAAACTATGTTTTTGGAAAGTTACTGCAAATTGAAACTGTTTTCGCAGAATAAATATATTTTAAGTATGATTTAAGTGTTTTATTTTACCCTTTAATATCAATATAATATACATAATTTATTTAGTCAAAATAACTAATTTACATGGCAAGACACACTCTGCTCTGTAGTCAACATATATTTAAAATTATAAAATAAAGTCAAAAATATTCAGCAAGTACACTTTTTTTTAAATTTGGTTATGTTGTATTAGGACAACATACAAGCGAGGAGGTATGGAAATTTGATTTTGCGTCACCCCAAATTATACAGCAATTTGATTACTTTATTTTCCTGCCATTTTTAAAATATCTTCCAGCTCTTCTGTTTTCCTGATACCAAAATTTAATCAACGAAATTGCAACTTTTGGTACTCGAATCTTTTTATCAGGATAACAGGAGAGAGAGGAGGTATGGAAATTGATTTTGTCACCCTAATTTATACAGTTACTTGATTAAGGAACAAAATTTTCTCGCAATTTTTAAAATACCTCCTCACTCTTCTGTTATCCTAATATCCAATTTTATCAACGAAATTACAAGTTTTGGTACTCGGATCATTATATATCAGGGTAACAGGAGAGCGAAGAGGTATGGAAAATAATATTACTTTACCCTAAATTATACAGTAACTTGATTAAGGAACTTAATTTTCCCACAATTTTTAATAACTTCTCGCTCTTCTGTTATCTTGATACCAAAATTGTATCGACGAAATTCAACTTTTGATACTCGGATCTTTGTATCAGGATAGAAAAAAAGCAAGTGGGGAATAGGCATAGGAGATATTTTAAAAAAGGCGGGAAACTTATTAAATTACATTATTTTATGCCAATTTTAAAGGTGGATTTGTATAAGAGTAACAGAAATGCGAGGAGGTATTTTAGGCAAGAAAATGCATAATTTTGATTTTTCTGATCCTGATGAAGGATTATGTTGCTTCCACCTATAATATTTAACAACGTATTTTCATTATTTCCTTAATTACTAATGGTTGAATTAATATTTAAATCCACACAAATACAGCTGGGCAGATAAATTAGAGTCTTCTTTGCAGCTTATCTCTATCTTGAGATGTTTAAAAGTTATTCAAGCTAAAAAATTTGTAGTTGACAGGCAACACTTAATACACTAATGTGTTATAGTAGTTGCCTATGCTTTTAAAAATTTTATCTATCGGCGAAGAGCTAAAACAATATAGTTTTAGCTTTTTGCCAGCCATATTTTTGTTTTTTTTTTACATTTTTAAAACAAAACGCTTGAAAATTAATATTTGATTTGGGAGTTACATCAAGAAGAAGTCGATTAACAAGGCGTTTATTTATGAAAAATACATGATAGAAGCATAAGTATAAGACGACATAGAAATTGTACAATATTTAAACTAACACAATAAAACATACAGGGTGTTTCAAAATTGGAGATAAATATAACATTCTTTATTTTACCCTCCATATCGAGGGTTAAGAACCATAACGACGTAACAGAAATTTTTGACATGCTTAGGAGAGCTAAAAATTGTCGAAAATATACATCATCAAGGTTTCTAAATTGATTCTAATTTCGAATACATTATTGTACCTATTCCCTATTATTCTGCCGTGTTAATTCAAATGGCCGTATCTGTTTTAATACTTAAACGCGAGAAAATTCGATTTTTCAAGAAAAACCACTTACGCCCAAATTTCTAAGCGTTAAATCTTCGGTTTTATAGAAGATATATGCATGAAAATTATAGAGATGGACAAAAAATTCATTGTTGTCATGCGTAGTGGTCATATCTTTATTTCAAGGAAAATTGCAGTTACGGCCATTTGAATTAACACGGCAGTATTGTACTTCTTACAGTACCTTTTACAAAAATTAATGTTTTGGTAATATAATTTTTTGATAACTCAGTTTGCCATTTTTTTCTGTTACGTCGTTCTGGTTCTTAACCCTCGATATGCAAACTATACACTCAGTATTTTTATTAACATAACAAAAAATTACTATTTTATAACACCTACATTAATTTATGCGATTATCCATAGAACTGATATCAAAAGTTGTATTCAATTGATTACATAACGGAATTAAAACATGACGAGCTTGCCTACTAGATTTTACATCATGGTATAAAAAATAAAAGGTAGGATATCAAAAGTGTCAAAAATAGGACGGCCACGCGCATAACGTTACGCGTAGAGTTTGTATAGGCGCGAATTTAAAAATACTGACGAAATGTGAGGAAAATATATGCTACTTACAGAAAGTTAATGAATATTAAGGATACTATTTTAGAAATTACATGAAATATCTATGGATATTATTATAGGATAGTTAAGGAAAGAACTATGAAGGAACATAAATGCAAATACATACATAAGAGAAGTATTTATTTGAACAGTTTTTTCCTTTTCCTTTTTTAATGATTCATTATGGTTATACAAATTCGACTTCTAAAGACTAGTTTTTATAACCAGGATAATGAAAAGGGTATCTTCGCAACTTGAAACTGGGGATCCTGGTAACAATTTTGCATCTGGATATGCCGGAAATTTTTATCTGATTACTCATTTACCTGCATTAAATTACCCAATTGAATAAAAATAAATTTAAAAAATATGTGTTTTCATATAATATAATGCAGACATTCATATAATATAATGCAAAGCATAAAAAAAATGTACGAAATACAAATAACAGCTACATAACATATTGTGGGTGCATATATAAAATTAAAATAAAATGTCATTGCAATTTTCCTGGACAAAGTCGCTGACAGTTTTTTTAATTCACTCATCAAGTACAAGTCGAAATTTTCTTTTTTTTGCCTCATTTACAATTTCACTTTTGCTTATATTGCGAAATTTTTAGCCTTCAAAGGGTAGAGTCTCCAGTTTAGAAGTCCCAAGTGGCGATTGAACCAATGTGAAGTTCTAATTGGAGGTTCCTCTTATAATTGGAAGGTTGAAAGTGCTTGGAATACATATGAAAATTTATTTGCAGGGTTACGAGCCACTGCAAGGGCTGTTCCATGTCGAATTTTCTTGGGAAGGAGGGTAGAATTGCCTATTTAGCATATTTTTTTTAATAAAAGGCTCATGGATTTTAAGAATTTTAATCTAGGTAACGGCATGCTCCTCTAAGCCTCCGCTGTAGCCGCCCTTGGGCCACTCCTCACTTCTGACTGAGCTCTTACTGTCGAAGAAAGCGAAAAACCATAATATTTTTCTTGAATCCCTTGCTTTAATTGTTACTGTTACATCCGTACCGCAATTTTTCAAAGTTTTTCACTAAAAGCACTTAGAGAGAACAAAGTTTACAACATAATATAATACAAATATCTGTTTAATACCTTATAATTTACTATAAACGACTCCTAAACTACTGCAACATGCGTCTGTCATATGATATTTATTTCGCGCCAACTCTACTAACTCTACGCATGACGTCAGAGCCGCCATGACACCATGCGCGATATCCCCCCCTGATTTTACATCATTAGTACTAAGCATAATTATCGATTATCAATCTACTAAAATATATATGAAATATTATTATATTTTGTGTTATATCATCTGTATAAAGGCACTCATTTCATTTAAAGACTTAACAGTTTAAAAATAGAAGCTGCAGAAACTCGAGTTTCGCTTCTGACAGTGACTTTTCATTAAAACGAAATTAGGGTGAAGACATTTACATGAACAGATAGCTTTGTAAAAAGCGAAACAATATTTTTACAATACGAATTTGAAGAGCAGATTAAAATACCATTGAAATGGAATTTATTTCTAAGAAGCGATGTTTTTCTCCAAGCTGCTGTTGCTTGAATGAATAATTCTCGTATAAAGGTACTCGTTTTACTTCTGAATGATCTAAGTTCAATTTCTGAAATCATAAATAATTGACGTTAATGGATATGGCAAATACGAAGCTTCAGATTAATAAAGGAATCGATCAAGCACACTCTACAATCTTTTGTTATAATTTGAACAGATATATACAGAGTGCTTCTTTTAAAAGAGTTGTTTATTAAAGAAATATCTATAGTTTATAAGAATTTTCTCATAAAAAAGTAGCTATTATACGCCGACACTCGAACGGCGGATATAACTATTGAAATATTATAGAAAGTTTCTAGACTCTCTGAAACACACTATACATAACAATATTGGGTCCGCTGACACTGAAATTTTTTTTTTTACCTTAAAATCCTTAAAATTTGTTGTCGGATCTCCATCATAAAACAAATGTGAAATAAACCATTTTCACTGATTTCTTGTTGTAGAAACGGCTAAATATCAATATTAGACCATTCATAGAGCAATAAAACAATACCAAATTTTTTCATAGACGATCAAATTTTCTTATTTTTCATTTTTAGTTAGAAAAACAAACAGTAAATTATTTTCAATGGAAATTGACGTTTCTAGTTTCTATTAATGCGGTGTTGCCAAATCGAGTAAGAAAACATATGTCAGGAAATAATTCAGTTAATGAAAATTGGCTGAAAAATTACATAGTGTCTGGCCAGCAGGTCAATTTGGATCCCGAAGTGAAAACATTGTAGTAATCACAGACATTCGTCTTTTTATTTCATTTCATGATGATTGTGCGTCGGCATATGTCGGTACTTATCTATTTGTAAAAAATACTTTTTTTTTCAATTTGAGCTGTGTCCAGGTCGTTAGAGTCTATGCCTGTCGGCGTAGTCAGGTATGGGTTAAAATTTTCTGGTGGCGGCAAAGCCGCCACCCTACAAGAAGTCGTTGCTTTATCTTATTATATATTTTCTTATTATTAGATGCCCACGATAAAGACACGTTCGTTAAAAGTTGGAATCGAGGTTCACTGGCCAAATGCTAGTGAGGGTTGGTTAGGTTAGGTTAGGTCAGGTTAGGTTAGGTTAGGTTAGGTTAGGTTAGGTTAGGTTAGGTTAGGTTAGGTTAGGTTAGGTTAGGTTAGGTTAGGTTAGGTTAGGTTAGGTTAGGTTAGGTTAGGTTAGATTAAGTTAGGTTAGGTTGGGTTAGGTTAGGTTGGTTAGGTT